AACGAGAAGAATATATCGAATCCCTCTTCCAATGATGCTCGAAATCAGTGGGCAACAAGGAATGAGATTGAAGGGTATTCATATTTTCTAAACAAACTGGGTTTGTTATCTGTGATTAGCATCGTTTCTCTTATCTTCAGCGAAAGTGAGTATCTTGGGTTCTTGTCCGAAATTGAAGGGGATACTATCTGGCCATAAAGAAAAGATGCCGTGCTAATCATAGCAGGTAAGAAAACCCATCTGACAGTAAGTCATGCATTTCAATTGTACAAGTATTTCTTTTTTCAAACTGGAGGAACTCGATTGTTTCGCAACTGGGGTCCGGAGGTTAAACATATAGCGTGCGCAATCCTGACCGCTAGCTAGGCCGAGCGACAATTGTGTGTTTGTGTGTGTGTGTGTGTGAGACAGCTCTACAGACCAAATGCTCAGATATATCAAATTTGGATTTCGACATAACTCTTCCTTATCATCTGAGAATGTGCCTTTTCAAAATGAAATCTCCAGGGAGGAAAGGGAGGGGATGCAACTTTAACGGAAAATGGAAGATTGGCTCTGGTCTCACCATCTCTCGAAAGAACGAGTAGACGATTGTTGCCGCTACATTTGCAAGGGAACGGTGACATCGCTCAACGTGATTCCTCCCCCCAGCAGCCAGAAACCCTCGGACTTGAAGCGTCCATGATGAAATAGGGGTGATATCTTTTTCTTCAACTCCGTTCGCATTCGCCTCCTTTGCTCCATTCACTGATCGAGTGCCGATTGAAGATAATCACGGGTCGATGAGACCTGCAGGCTTTATACGTACTAGTTGGTAACCGATACAAAAAGCACGGAAGTATTTAAAGGCACTTAATGTGCACATGGCCATGGGAGGCGGTCCCCACACTCCCGCCCCCCTGCCCCCTGCCTGGCCATGTGAGAAAAAAGGATGCGGCAAAAACACCCCAAATTTCTCGGTCTGTCCCTGCGCTTCGTCGATCGACATTGCGAAGGACAGGGAACCGACGCCGAGCGAAGACAAAGGGTAACCCAAAGATGTAGGCGTTACCTTAAATCGTCGCCTCGTAGGACGATGTGATATGTGGGCTTTTATTGCCGGCCTTACGCAACTCGCATCACAACCCGCCGCGCACGTTTCCGAACGTCAATGGCCTCGTGCCCGTTGCGTGTACCTTTTACTATGGCTATGGGAGAGCCACTGAGCTAAGAAATATCTGGTGATGGTGCACCCGTAGGAACAGTATAGGCATGCATGCTGGAATTGAAAGAAGTCTTATACTTCAGTTTAGGCTAATGGCAGAAAATAGCGATTGAGAATAGGTCAGCAAAATGCCGCGATTCACTAGCGAAGTGATTCATGGAATTTAAAGCAGGCCTGCGGTGCGCATTGGCGGAGTGAAGGACCAGGTACCAAGGGATCATTGGAGCAGCCCTAGTGAATATGCAAGCACGCCTTGCCAATACCCGCCAACTCTTTTACCATGCACAAAGTGGTCGTTCTTCGTTTTTTGCTTATAGCTTATGTTTGCCTTTGAACGTTCACTTCGTCAAACCAAGTAAAGTTCTTTTCACTTCATGCCTCACACCGGGTATAAAATAGGTAGACTGTGATGACGCAAGGGCGGCGTGTCGTAAGCACCTTCGTAGGCGATGAAATCTCATCTACAGCAGGCCTGGAACTTCAGGCCCACTCAAGAAGTTTGAGATAGAGAAAAGGGATGGTTACGACGCCGCCGACGTCGTCTTTCCGATCCAAAAGTAAGCCCTCTTGTGCCATACAAGTGGGATCCCGCCGTTTTCATCCTCGGGAGTCACTCTCCTTGTGAGTAATGAGAGGATGGGGTTTCGTTTGATGAAGGGGTCGGGATCCCGATAAATATATGGGCGAAGATATCATACCGGCGAAGAGGTCTATCCTTCCTCCAGAGATGAAAGAGGACTCCAAGTGTAATACATGGGAATACTGCTGAAAAGTCTGTATCGGACCCCGATAAGTAGAGAGCGGGAGGTGTACGTAGAATCCGTCTCTCTCTTCCCTATTGTTATGTTAGGGATGCCATGGAGAGGTCCAGAATGATGCGTTTGGTACGGAGGGGTAATGGTAGAACACTCGATAGACAAACTGGAGGCCATGGATCCGAACTCTCCCCACCCCCAAACATGCTTTCTTTCGTCCTCTTATCTCATGAAACTTTTCCCCCATCCCCAGGGGGATTAATTCTCCAGAATAAATACTTACAATGAAACTTTTGTCACCTTGTTCATAACTCCGCCATTTGTTTCGTATAAAACAATTTAAAGGAAAAATGAGCAAGAACATGGATGCAGAATTCCATAACGTGCACATCCTGATCATCGTAGGACAGGAGAGAAATAGCCACTCCAAATAAACTACTTCGTTCGGCCAGGATGCGCAGAGCGATTCCATAACTTGTTAGTCTCGAAAACAGACAATGGGGGACATGAAGGGCGAATGAAGGGCACACATTCAATGAGATACATGGGGAAATTCCGTGTATTCTCGATTATTTTCGCCTCTCTGCACTTCAACATAAGTGAGTCTTGGAAGACATCTCTATTAGTGCCTATAATAAATCCAGGCCAAAGTAACCTTTTTTGCATCGGAAATGAAAAAAAAATACTTGACCTGACGCATTTCTTGCACAAATCGTTTAAATTAACAAACTCCAACGAATGAGCTAAAAAATTCTGACGACGGAAATTGAGACGACAGTTGAATATTGTTGGGAAGAGGAATAGTGAGATATCTAGGAACCTCATATTTCAGATGCTAGGCTGCAGCTTTATTGACAGTGACGGATGGAAAGAAGCTGGAAGAAATTTGTTGCCACAAAGGCGACTGCAACCTAAACCTACACTACGATTGCGACCAGGATGCGAAAATCTTATTATCAGCTTGACCTCGTGTCGTTCCGCTGTGGTACGTCAGAACTATACTTTGGACTGAGTTTGCATATAAACATTGTATTATTTGGCAGAGGAAATGATTGGCAGAAGGGGAAGAACTGCAAGAAGGATTATGACTGCAATGAAGAGGGAAGACTAAAATGTGATCAGAAATTCCAGAAATGTAATTGCATGGATGGGTTCTGCCTCCATCCCGAAACGCTTCAATGTGTTCCATGAGGAGCCTCCCAATTTATGCCTGAAACGAAGGCGAAATATGATAACGGAGAATAAATTCCTTAATGACTGAATGTTATTGATGATTGGAGCCTCCACATGAACTATTGGTGGGACACGTCCTTGATGGTGCACTTTTTAGCTAGTACAGGGTGACTGAAAAGAAGATGTAACTTTGTCATAAGGAATTTTTATTGCGTCATGCTGATCTTGAATGTAAAATGTTGAACAATAAAAGAATACATATTTACCATTCTGCAGCTGAAAGTTACATGATCATGGACTATTTTCGATGGAGATATGAAGTAGTGGAAATGAAACTTAAATAAATTAAATCTCCATCACGAAAGGAAACGTTCTAAGCCAGGTCAATGTATGGAAGGTCACATTGGGAGATGAATCAGGAAGAGGATAATCATTTTATTTAACGTTTTGTATCCTCTCTTCCCCTGCGCCTCGGAACTATGGTCTCGAGAGGGCGGGAAGAAGGAAACGGAGGGTAGCGCCGATTTGTGGTCGATGCTTAAGACACTGGCCACCTGGACGTCGCCTGTGATCGCGGTTGGAGTCTGCCGGATGTCGACAGTAAGGTTCGATCGCCGCTCGGGCAAGCACCGGGATCCCCATGATTTCAATACTGAAGAGCTGTGTCGTGTCACTGAATGCAGTCAGGATTTTCTTTCACGGGAGGGTTTGATCAGTGAGGAATGCGATATGAGGGGATACAAGAGACATGTCAAAAGTTTCCTGCTTCTCGGTATGAGTCGTTCAGGAGATTGGCGAATGCCTAAACTTCTTTGCTAACTTTTCCACGTAACATCATTCTTTCTCCTCGCACGGCTGACACTTATTTTCCCCATCGTAGACACACTGGATGAAGTCTTCCTGCATGTTCCTTAAACTACTGGAAATGTGCGGTTCCCTTGTTTGCCCCTGAAGGCTTCAAAGTAAGTACTTTAAAGCTTTGCTTTGCCAGAGACCATTTTCAGGTTTGGATTTCACGCAAACAGCTGCAAACCACACAAAAGTTAAATAGGACATTTTTCGGAGCGAAGGTCTGTATTATGGAATGCTCAATGATTTCATCACTCTGAGAGATTCGAATATGAAGCTTTCTCCAAGAATTATTTGCAAAAAAATATTGTTAAGAAATCTTCTAATCACGAAAGATCTCTGAAACGTCGAACTTCCGATAATTTCCGGAAATTTCAAATTTGAAAAAAAAATAAAAAGCTAAGAATTACTTTTCTTGATTCCATTATGCAACTTAAATGCTTTTTTTCTCGCTCTACTTATCCTCTTTTGTGACTTTGGACAAACGACATTATACTCAGCTCTTAATGAAACACCGTCTCAAAGGTGCGTGACTCGTTCTTCTTACGCGGTCGATTTCTTATCATAGGGAAATGGTCAGGAACATGAGCGTGGCGTTCTTAGCTGTTGACATAGGGATTATCTATTCGCGAGAAGAAGAGAACCACGCGAAGTACTGTAAGGGACCCCCTGCGTCGTGGAGAGCTAAGCGGATTCATGGCTAGCAGCAGCTAAGCAGATATTGGACTGGGTGGAAGGCAAAGGAAAAGCATAAATTCCATGGAGTATATAAATGTTTTCGGTGTCTCATCGCTCTGCCTGCTCTTTCTGCTCTTCAGCGCTAGTGAGTTTTCTGAGACATCTGATTTCATCTCCCGTGCATGTTACAGCGGCGGAGAACGTGGAATCATTCTCATTTATTCTCCTCACAGCTTGAGTGCAGAGACTCGAATTCAAAGAAGTTCATATCAAAGCTCAGTTCAATTATTGGTGATGTGAGCAGTGCTCACAACCTAAAAACATGAAGTATTTCATAAGCAATGGACGGTGAATACCACTAATGAAAGTAGTCGAATACTTAGCATTTTCATCTTCATTCGACACTCATTCATCTAAGAAATGAAAACAGGGTAAAATGAAAAGCCAAGGATGTCTAGAATTATTGCGTCTACACTGAAGAACACTCAAACTAGTAGTGAACTTGAGGTAAACGGCAGCATTAAAAGAGAATCGCAAAGCTTCATCATGTTGCAGCTAGCTCGTTAGTTCCATCTACCTTCGACGAATAGGGGCGACTACGTTGACGCGAGCAGTATTTCTCCTGCTTTGCAACATCAGATCCTACATGACCCATGCGATGTTGGAGACACTCAATTATGGGGTAGGAGATACTTTCTACTCCATGCTACTGCTACGATCTAGCCCCAGTTGACATCTATAGATTTTATGCATTGCGAACCGCGCCTTGTTACTGCATTCAACGATTTATCTACCTGCTGGTGCAGCAACTGACATTTATCCACGTAATATATTTACCTAAACTTCTATGGGGATGGAAAAATTAATTTAATATCTGTCAGAGGAGAATACATCGAACATATTGCGAAATGAATTCAATTTATGCATAAAAAAATTATTTTTTTCCCGTATAATTTCCTTCCTTCTTCACTCTCCTTCCTAGCTCTAATTGCAATAACATGTACCATTCAGTTTCCACCCTATTGCACGAAAACATTGGGAAAAGGCATTGCTTAGAACTGGTCATTGAACTAAATTCGAAAAATAATAATGCCTGTAGTCATTAAAAACATTTTTTTTATTGTTTTGACTATTGGGTAAGCAAAGAATAGCTCGTGGCTGAATTTGATGGGTATTCCTCGTCACAACAGTGAAATCGCTAGTACCATTTCGAATCCTTGCTCGATTCCTACTCCTACGAGGACGTGGGCATCAAAAAAAGGCTTCCAAAAGGCTTCAAAACATCTTTCTCTGCGACTTTGTGTAGGCTTTGCGGAGACACGAGTTCCACCACCATGTGATTCGATGGAAGTATGCATGCAGGATATGACAGAGCCAGAGGGAATCTTGGAACCATGTGTTAATGAAGACGGACAAGTGCCTCCATACCAGGTTAGTCGTGATTAAAATCTCCCGTTTGGATGAGTATACGAGGTAGAACTTGATCGTGAAAGGTATTGCTGAGGGATTGATCAGAATGGTGGGCACATATCCAGTATTTCAGTTATGTAATTGCGGTATCTATCATGGACCCGTTGAATTGGAAAAACTATTGATCGAACATAAGTAATATGTCTGTCAATTTCAATTTGTAGCGTTGCTTGTGGAACGTGATCGGGAGCGGACCGACGGGTCACATCGAGATTCTCTTGACTCCAAAGGATTTTGGGAATTTTCCAAATAGATCCCTGATATTGGAAGTTGGTTATGGATACAAAGATGATTTCCCAGCCGGAAATGATGAAACAATTCTGGCCACTTTCGAAACACCAGTCTGGGAGAACGTATTGGTAACCGTCGATGGTGAAGACGCATGGGTTCATTTGCTCACTCGGAGGACTATCAACCCCATCCAAGTCTTCTACAGCAATGAAAACCGAAGTATGTTTTCCATCCCTCACTTCCTCATTCCATAATATGGATTTGTTTTGAGACGATACAATGTAGGCATGGTCTTGTCCCGGACGACTTTCACATCCACTACCGATGTTCATTATTACGTCTTAATTGCTTCAGCTTTTCTCTTTGCCATTTTTTTTCGTCCAAAAAGGACTTTCCCAAGCGTTGTCTTAAAACCAAACTTCATGATAGAAAACATCTTCAAATGATATACATAGATGACTTAAAATGTCCTATATATTCAAAGTCAAACAATCTGGAAGAACATGGTTGAGGAAATATCGCAAAAGGAAGCCGCAATAACATTATTTGAACATCTCTATAAATATTTGCTGGTTATATCCGGAAAAATTAAATGAAAATATGCTGAAGATTACCAGTGAAGGTTTTTCTTCCGCTCTGTATGAAATAAGAAAGCTCCTATGCTTGCTGATTCCTATTAGCGAAAGCTCGACTTGTCCAAGTCGAGTTCTGGACTGGACTGTATTTGAAAAGGTAGAATTGGCCTTGGAGGGAGAGTCTCATTCGCTATTGAAAGAAATTATTTTTGATCGTGATTGAAAAGTTTTCTTTAAATATTCAGGATACCTATTCCAAACGCTTTTTGAGACGTCCAGAACATTTTATATTGATACCACCTCCTATGAAGCCATGGGTGATGTAAAACTCGTCCATGAACGGTCCAGTTGTTCAGAGATGGGTATAAGACCGAAAACGATCGTACTTTGGATATATTGGGCATTATTTGTCTTGTGCATCCTTCTCCTCCCCCTTACACACGGGGGTTTAAGCCTACGATACGAACTTTTTTTGAGCAGCAATCTTATTCCGCATCGATCGCGATCACTGCATATCGACCATGAAGTTCATCACCACTTTCTCTAGGCCAATGAATGAAATATACTCTTATACTCTTCCTGCTACGCGGCTGGCGGCGTCTTTCCGATCAAAGGGTAAGCGCTATTGCTTTATCCCATTCAGATGGAGTGCCCCCGCTCTTATCCTTTGAAGTCATTCTACTTGTGAGTGCTGATCAATACGAATTCGGAGTTCCGAACGATAAAGGTGCCGAGATCTTATCCCGGCAAGGTCATTCGTAATTCAGCGGAATGAAATGGGACTCCAAGATTTATAAATGGGGACGTTTTGCACGTCCGCGCGGGAATGTATGCATCAAGGTTTCAACATCCACCTAGAGGGGGGATGCGCAAGACGAACAATTCCTGTCATCTCTTTTCTCGAGAATGGATCCGAAAGCCACAATAGACGGATGAAATGTGGGAGAGGGAGAGAGCGAGACAGACACCAGGAGCCATACAGAAGGCGCCTCGTAAGCGCACATGGCTCTGCAGACATACAGACGCCCGAACATCTATTCATACTTTCTTTAGCTCGTATTTTTCCACGGGCAGTTGTATTTTGAAGAGTCTGGCACTTGAGAAACGTCGATGGGAAGATAGAGTCCGGACCCCGGGTACAGGGACCTTGGCGCGTGCAAGTTCTACCGGGGGTAGCATCGTGATTGACAAATTTGATATCTTAAAACTTCCCCTTACGGAAATGTCCTATAGGAAACCTATAGTTATTTCTTATAGGAAAACTATAGACTTTCCTATAGGTTTTTGAAACACGAAAAACCTATAGGATCCTATAGAATCTTATAGGATCCCTATAGGGGCTTATAGGTCTCCCGACATATAGGATTTAGGGAGGATATCTTGGGTTTCGAAACCCAGACATTACGACGGAAAAGGCGACCGGGGTTAACATTGGCGCAACATTTTGGTGTAAATAAAAAAACCGATTAGGGGTTTTTCCATGGTAGGGACACATCCATTATTAATACCAGTACTGCGATGGGTCAGCATAATTTATGGCCCCGCCCCACTTGCGTCGCTGGATTGTAAATCTAATTCCTACGGTAGAAAGAAGTGGTAGTCTTCTCTCGGCCTAAGGAAAATGTAAGACAGAACCTGCGAGCACGTCTTTTTACTGAAACTCCATTTGGATAGAGTCTACTCAATTTCGTACGTGGTCTTCAAAAAGAATGAGGGCATGTTTCTTCATGGGACTCCATGATCATATCTGGAAGATAGGCATGACAAATAAGGAACTCTCAAAGTTAATTGATTGCTATAATGAGGCAAGGCGAGACATTAGGGGACGTACAAAACTCTCTTGTGAGAGATGATTCCTTGGGTAAGATGAGGGCAATTTTGTGCCCTTTGAGAAAAGTGAGAACCCAATACATCCATCTAGTGGCCTAGAGGAGAACTACAAACAGAACCGTATAGGCCTACAGGGTTCCGTATAAGCCCTATAGGGAATCCTATAGCTCTTAAAGGTCCTATAGGGAACCCTATTGGCCCTATAGGGAAGCCTATAGGTCCCATAGAGAATCCTATAGGCCCTATAGAGAATCCTATAGGTCTTATAGCGAACCCTACAGGTCCTATAGGGAACCCTATTAGTTTTATAGGGCCACTACGGGTCCTATACAGAACCCTTTGGGTCCTATAGGAAACCTATAGGCCTTATGGGGAACCCTTTAGGTTCAATAGGGGACTCTATAGGGTCTATAGGGAACTCTATAGGACCCAAACTGAATTTTAGGGGGCATATAGGATCCTACAGGATTCCTTTAGGTTCCTATAAGATTCCTTTAGGTTCCTATAGGATTCCTATAGGATTCCTATATATTCCTAAAGGAATATATAGGAATCCTATGAGACATTTTCGTAGGGGTCGTTCTGTTACCTCTGTGCTCGCGACGTCCAGTTAATGTAAAGAGTCGTAGCATCAGTTCAGACCCGATAAACTATGAATTGCTCGAGGGACTACCATATGTCTTACGGAAATGTCCTATAGGAAACGTATAGCTATTTCTTATAGGAAACTTATAGACTTCCCCATAGGTTTTTGAAACAAGAAAAACCTATAGGATCCCTATAGGGTCTTATAGTTCTCCTGGTCTATAAGATTCGGTGAGGATATTTTAGGTTTCGAAACCCAGGCATTACGACGGAAATAGCGACCAGGGTTAATATTGGCGCAGCATTTCGGGGTAAATAAAAAACCGATTACGGGTTTTTCAATGGTAAAGACATATGCATTATTCATACCAGTACTGCGGGTGTCTGCATAATTTATGGCCTCACTCCACATATGTCACTGGATTGCATGTCTACTTCCTCTGGTAGAGAGAAGTAATATTCTTCTCCCGACCTAAAGAAACAGAAGAAAAAACCTGCGAGCACGCCTCTTTAATGAAACTCCAATTGGATGGAGACGTCTCTGTTTCGTACGTGGTTTTCAAAAGGAATAAGGGCATATTTATTCACGGGACTCCATGATTATATCTGGAAGATGGGGATGACAAATGAGGAACTGTCGCTTTTTATTTATTGCTACAATGAGGCAAGGCGAGACATTTGGGGAAGTACATAATTCTCTTTTGAGAGGTGATTCCTTGGGTAAGAGGAGGGCACTTTTGTGCCCTTTGAGAAATGCGAAAATCCAATACTTCCATCTAGTGGGCTAGAGGAGAACTTCAAATGGAACCCTATCGGCCTATAGTGCTCCGTATAAGCCCTATAGGGAACCCTATAGCTCCTATAGAGAATCCTATTGGTCCTATAGCGAACCCTACAGGTCCTATAGGGAACCCTTTGGTCCTATAGGGAACCTATAGGCCATATGGGGAACCCTATGGGTTCTATAGGGAACCCTGTATGTTTTATAGGGGGCTCTATAGGTTGTATAGGGAACTCTATAGGTTCTATAGGGAACTCTATATGTCCCAAACTGAACTCTATGGGGCATATAGGAACCTATAGGATTCCTTTAGGTACGTTCCTATATATTCCTAAAGGAATATATAGGAATCCTATATGACATTTTTGTAAGGTAACCTAGGCTGACTTTCTTCGATGTTCCCTCATTTTTGGCGCACCCTGTAACACTGTCGTTCGGTAGTCTTTTCCGGGTTTTCATTCCAGTGAGTGAAGAAAGAGTTGCAAATGTTTCATGAATAAAAAAGTAGTCTTCGTTATTGGAAAAATCGGAGTTAGAGCTCTATACGGCTTAGGCCCGACCCGACTCAACCCGTGGGTTGCCAAGGTCGGAACGTTTCGCGATCGTTCTTCGGGTCGGGTAGCGTCGAAAACAATTCTTCATCGGAATTAGAGTTTCCGGTTGGTGCGGGCCATGACGTGAATGAAGTCTATCGGGTCGGGTACCGGGAAATCGGCCTGTGCAGAACTCTACCAGTGGAGCATAATGGTTAACATTTCGATAGCTCGTAACTCATTCTGGGTTGAAGATATTTGAAATATGATTGCTCGATGCACCCCTCTCAACCATAGGCTTTCGATCGATAGGTAACATTTCAAGATATCTATTTGCATAACGTGGCAACACGGCTTATAAACATATATATTAGCGAATCTATCTATCTATCTATATCTATAAGCAAGGATCTCTGTCTCTGTCCATCTGACGCTACGCATTCGGACACCGTTGGAGATATCGACCTGAAGCCTTTGAAGGAGGGTGGGGTCTGTCCAGTAGCAGGTCATAGGGGGTCGGGGTAAGGGAGGCGGCTCCGGGGGGGGGGGTTCTTGGGGTCCCGAAAAGGGTGTTCCAGGCCAGCTAGGGAGACAAGACAACGGATTGGGGTTTTACGGGTTCCTAGAACCCGTTCGATGAAAAGAAAGTCTGGCTGACACACCCCGACAGAAATCGCTGTCAACAAATGAACAAAATTGGCTTGCTGAAAAATCAACAGAAATCACTGTCAAAAATTAAAATAATGGCCGCTAGAAAATCAATCAGAAATCAGACAAAAATAAAAATAAAAATTTGGTTCACCTTAGCTAACTAACAGTAGTAAAATCGCCATGGCCTTTACTTACCAATTTCACTTGCATTCACAGTGAAGTTGGTAAGTTCTATAAGGCCCCCTTCAACAAAGCCAAGACACTTCATGTAGTCTACAACTAACTTCAAGAAGCCACAAGTCAAGTACTGTTTGGCCAGGGTCAGTATTTGACTCATCACTACTACACCACCCTGCTCTTTTCATGGCTACCCTTGCGAAAATATCTTATAATATTCTCATATATTCCTTTAGGAATATATAGGAATCCTATAGGAACCTAAAGGAATCCTATAGGTTCCTATAGGACCCGATTGGTTCCCTATAGGACCTGTAGGGTTCGCTATAGTACCTATAGGATTCTCTATAGGCCTATAGGGTTCCATTTGAAGTTCTCCTCTAGGCCACTAGATGGAAGAAGTGGGTTTTCCCATTTATCAAAGGGCACAAAAGTGCCCTCCCCTTACCCAAGGAATCATCTCTCACAAGAGAGTTTTCTAGATCCGCAAATGTCTCGCCTTGCCTCATTGTAGCAATCGATAAACTTCGACACTTACTTTTTTGTCATCCCCATCTTCCAGATAGAATCTCCATGATTCTATCAGGCAAGAAATATGCCCTTATTCCTTTTGAAAACCACGTACGAGAATGAGTAGATTCTATTCAAATGGAGTTTCAGTAAAGAGACGTGCTCGCAGGTTCTGTCTTCTATTTCCGTAGGTCTAGAGAAGAATGCTACTTCTCTCTACCGAAGGAAGTAGACATGCAAGCAAGCGATATATGTTGGGATAATGATCGGAATTTGATATCCACCAATATGCCGAGCCAATATTAATCCCGTGTCGCCTTTTCCGTCGTAATGCCTGGGTTTTCAAACCCAAAAATTCCTCCCCGAATCCTATAGGTCAGGAGACCTATAAGACCCTATAGGTATCCTATACGAAAGTCTATAGGGTGCCTATAAGAAATAACTATAGGTTTCATATAGGACATTTCCGTAAGGGTACCCAGTGATCTACTGTGGCTTATTACAACACACTAACAATGCCGCCCAAGAAAGCCTCCAGGCTGGGGCGAAGCTCCTCCTCCCAAGCAAGGAGGAGGACAGAGACCTCTGAGGAGAGGCGCCAGCGACTTGAAGCTGATAGAGCATGAGCTTTAACATCACAAGCAAGGGAAAGCCCTGCTGAAAGGCAATCACGCCTGGATGCAGACAGGGCAAGA